GCTTTGGCCAAAGGACTCGGACATCTGGAGCTACTTGTCTTTTATAGGAAAGTCGGAAATGCCGGCTAGCTTATTCAGCACTCAGATGCTCTTTGACTCTTTGCGTAACCCGTTTTATTCAAGTATGCCCTTTTCAAGATGCAGATGTTTTATGATGTTATAACTAACTCCATAAAATAAAAAATAAAAACCAAAGTACCATGAGTTTATTTAGAGAAAAGGACTATTGTTTTCATGCTGCTAGCTGTGGCAGTACTAGAGCATATGTGAAGGTCTTAAGCTGGACAGAAGTTTGAAAGAGGTGGAAAATCTAAAGTCTTCAGACTGAAAGAAATTAGGCTGGGATTATAGGAATTGAGTCATGAGATATTAAATATGGAGAGGGAAATCTGGCAAGTGGGACATGCGACTTTCACTCTATACCTTTTTGTACAGCTTCGATTACCTTTTGTAATAAGGATAGCAATACTTTTGTAGTTACAAAAAAGCAAATAGCTTCTGGTTTAATTAAAGCCCATATTAGTTTATAAAAGATCTGATCAGACATACTCAAAGTCTATTTTGTCCTTCTGCTATCAGGATAATCCTCCCAGACCTGCAAGAACCACACAGAAGATGAACATTTCTGCAGATCTGTGCTCACTTAGAATGTTAAGACCCTTTAGGCTGAAACACTTAAACTACCTAGTGTAAGTCAGCTAACTAACATAACTAGAACTTCAAGAATAACACATTATGGCTCAGGTCAGGAATACATTCACATGCTATTATCTCTTTCTAGATATAGTATGCTAAACTTCTTCAAAAAAGGTTAACTTCCAGGGAAGAGTTCAAAGTCCAAACAGCAGCTGAAGTCTTTCCTACAACTAGAATATGTTGAATTTATGAGATTTTATTCTTCACATGCTGACGTTTTAGAACAGGTAATTCTTGGGGGGTAGGGTTGTCCTATACACTGTAGGACATTTAACTGCATTCCTTAACTCTGCCTACTAGTTGCCAGTAGAACCCTCTCCCAATTGTGATAACCAGAAATCCACAGACACTGACAATATCTCCTGGGAGACAAAATCACTTCCAATTGAGAAACAAAATGTGCCCTTAAAATGGGGAGAGACCCTTAGTAAATGGAGACCTCTAAAAACATCCTGACTTATGTTGTTTGCTTCTTCAGTTAAAGATAAGCAGAATATTCAATGCATGCTTATAAGAGAACAGACATATTATTAATTAAAATGCCACCCACCTGAAAAGTTTATGCAACGTGCCTACTAGTGACAAATGGCAAGACTCACCAAAGAGCAACTTTCTGACTTCCAAGTATAGGGCAGCTGCCATGGGGCTTGATCTCTAAGCAAGTCTGTAAGCATTTTCCAAATCAGTAAAATCTAATAGCTTACCTGCTTAGGATCAAAATTATATACATATACACATATATCTATCTACCTATCTATATATTATTTATATATAAAAATATAAATAAGAGACTCAGAACCTGAGTGCTTGCTGTCACTTGTCTTCCTGAGGACCCCCATACTCTGGGGGGATGCCATACTGCTGTCTTTAAATAAATCTTTACCTGTGCTTTGCTTAATGACTCAGTCCTGCAGTTCTTTCTGGGACAAATGTCAAGATGTTGGTTGGTTCCAAGTTGTGGTTCCCCCCCTTTATGACTTCCTTGGACCCCTCTGATGTCAGAACCAGCAGCACAGGGCAAGAAATTTAATTACATGTTGATACCTTAGATTTTGCAATATTCTGTGGCCCAGTATTTTATTTAGTACTGACAATGGATACACTAATAAGTCATCCAGTGGTGGCCAAGAGTAAATGGACACTCGTTTTCTGCCTAAGACTATAAATATGCATTGCAAGAAAAAGTAGAGATTCAAGCTGAAGGTTTATCTAAAAATAAAATAGAAAAAATTATATTTGTGCTACGTTATAACAAACTCAGGGTTCACATTGGGGCTGTGCTATATACTGAGGTTTTCTGAAAGACTAGGTAGTTAAATTCTTCTTTGACATGCTATAACTGCATCTAACCCAATATTGTACTGGAGTCCTAGCCAAACGAAGACAAGAAGAAGAGACAACTGTCCCTATTTGCAGTTATTATAATTTCAACAAAATTTATAGACAAACTGTTAACAGCTAGATGAGGAATTTCAAAAAGGTTCTGAACATAAGAATCACATGTAAAAATCAATCTCATTCCTATATATAATAAAATTAATGAGGAAATATAAGAAAAAAAGTCATAGTTAAAAGGAATTTCCTAGATATACACTAAAATAAATGTACTGAAACCACTAGGGAAAAAATTGTAAAATGTTATTTAAGGATATTAAAGGCCCTGAAAAATGGAAATGGAAACAATCCATGTTTATAGACAAAAAAAAAAAAAAAAGAAAAGAAAAGAAACTTTTCAAAACAGGCTAATTCTTAAATTAATCTAAAAATCAAAACAATGCCAACAAAAGTATTTTCCCTGAACATGACAAGCTGATCCTAGAATTCACAGGGAGGATAAAATAGTCAAGAACAGCTAAGGCAACTCTGAAGAACACAGTTACTTCACCACATAGATAGCTAGGATAATGAAGATGATAGGATACTGGATCGGTGACAACTAATAAAGGAGTAAATGGGGCTCAGAAACTTATGCGGACATGTTGAACTGATGTATGCAAAGTGGCAGGCAGTGTGTGAGGTAAAGACAGGCTGACCTCTCTGGAGAACTGCCATTGTTTGGCTCCTATAAAGAAATAGTGAAAACTTTCGAAGGCTACTAAAGAGGTGAAATAATTGTGGAAAACTGAGTTATGGTTACATTGAAGCTGAGCTCCCATGGAATTATTAGGTTGGGTGTGGCCAACAGGCCAGCCAATGACCTGCAGGAGACTCAACACAGGGAGTTTTGCACTTCTGACTGAAAGCGCCAAAGGCTGGACAATGGATTCTGTTTTCCGAAACAGTAAAATGAAACAATGTGTTGCAGAACCTATGGAACAGAGAATCAGCAAAGAGGCCTTTTGTGGGCTGCTCATATTACAGATCCACACTGGGGAGACAGTTGGAAATACTACACACACTTGCCTTCTAATCTCTAAGACCCCCTTGGTCTACATGACATGGTGTACCCTCATTCTGGGCTGGGGAAGAGCAATTAAAGTCTACACAGAACTTGCCTTGGACCAACAATCCTTGAGGTTACTTTTGAAAAGGGGAAAAATCAATTTAAAATTGATTTGGATTTGATAAAATAGTTAATGACAGAACTGCAAATATGGTAACAAAACATTCTTACACAATCAATAATTTTAAGTCATTTATTTCAATAGAAATATTTCAGAAAACTGTTCTTAAATTCATTTTAAATTAGCTTATGCAAACACACTGAAGATCACACACTCACATTTGCATATTAAAAAGAAACAAAAAGAGAGAGGAACCAAGTTGCACATCACTCAAGGAGGTCATAATGCAACTGAATGCTTCATTAGAGTACCTCAAGTTAACTGGGATAAAGAAGAAAAAAAAATGGCTTGTGTTTTCCTGAATATTATCATCACTAGGTATTTATTCCCACAGATGTTTGATCTCCTTTAGAATATGTTGGGAACCAGATCCCCGCAATGAATGCCAATAATAAAGGTGAGAAAATACTGAGAATTTGGTGACTTATTATCAGCTATTTTACAGTCATACCTATTAAATCAATAATTATTGGACTACATATGGGAGTCGTTCTAATGGGGAAGGTATCTTCAAGGGAGGCAATATTTCTTACTTGGCATCTAATCTAAAGCACAGCTAATATTTATGAAGTTTTCTTCTTTTCTATTAAGGAAAAAAAAAGTTGCATCCCAAAGCACTCTACATATTCTTTTAACCCCATCATTGCTTTGCAGTTCAAATGGCTAGAATCAAAATTTAAATTCTGCTAATAACCCTCTAGGACCAATTACCCTTTCATTTAGGTTTAAATACTATGTTTATCTACTTTGCTACTCTAGAACATAATAGCCCTTTAAAAAGTGTAAAAAGAGCATCCTGACACAGATAAACAACAGTGCTCCAGGTCTTCTAATAATCTCAGAGAAGCAAAAGTATTTCTGAGATTTGCGTTCACTGAGAAAGCTAGGTTAGTCTCTAAATGTCTATACACTGGAGTGCTTTTCACTGTGCTGCACAAATACTTTCAGGTAAGCCATATCTGGTACGTTAAGTGACTGCTTGTTCATTCCGAGTCTTATTTAAATATAAGGATGAAGCAAATAAAATCTCATTTCTGGCCACAGGAACTGTGCTTACAAGATTCTAGTAGCTTTAATAAAAACCAAATTAATCTTCCTGGATATTTATTATTTTAGGGATTTCCAAGAGGGGCTGATTATTATTAACTCTATGCTCAAACAAGAGAAAAAAATGAACCCAGCTGGATGGATGTTCTTCAAAGCTGTTTTTTTAGGAGTGCTTATCAAAAGATTGATTTGAGTGGATTTATTTTCATTCTCCTACCTGGAAAGGAGAGAAGCAGGGAGGAAGTTGTATAAAAAAAGACTCAAAACCCAAGGAGGACTGCAACAAGCACCTGGAGGATCTGCACAGACATCCTTAGACTTGCTGTAAGATTAAGATGGTGGAGAGCATGCTCCTGAACTAAGAGGGCAAATTGTACTCAATGCCCTAAGAATGGTCTTCAAATTGATAAGGCACTGACCAAAATTTTACCATATTACAACTTGAGATATAGGTATAATGCAATTGCTTTCAATAAGCTTAAAAGTTTTATGCACAAATCTCTTTCATTAGAACCCTCTAAATAGAAAAAAAAAGTCACTTTAGACACAAGCCATTTTTAGGAGAACAAAATCAAAAGGTACTTAAATCACTTTAAAAAGGTCCACATTTATCATCAATGTGTCATTTATCATCAATGTGATTTAGCAGCAATTTTTGTTATCTCAAAGGCTTAGAAAAAACAGAATACACTCTGGCTGTAAAATCATAAATTTACTAATTTTGAAAGAAGTAAAGAAAGAAGAGAGAAAAACAAAAGCAAACCCTAAAAGGTCACTGAAGGAAGTCAGACAAACCTCACTGCTTCCTCACACATCAGTAGCACTCCTATTCCACCAGCACAGCGGGGAAATAACCTTCATTTTCAAAAAGGGATCCAATCATTTCAAAGGCCTTTGAGATACAGGGTTTCTTTTTATTAAAGATTATCTCCTGTTAAGTAACACTGGCACCCCGTGCTTGCAGAAGAAAATAATATAGTGGTTTAAAACCTGGTTGTAAAAGAATGTGCCTCAAAAAACAAGGAAATCAATAATTGATATGTTCTTCTAAAAAGCCAATGGATTAAATCTATTACTAGTAATGATTTCCTAATATGATGTCCTTCAGTAATAAATGTATACAGCAGTACAGATTTAACCTTAGGGAAAAAAGACAGATGCTAAACATTTGGCCAAGTAAATTCTAATGATTTTAAGAGAATGATAGGCTGCTAATTTTAGAGGGCCCCAGGTTCAACTAACAGATCTACTAGAGACTACTCTTTTTTACTTTCTATAGCAATAGGTCTTTTTGAGCTCCCTTATGAATCTTCTAGAAGAGGAAAAAAGCTGTTTATAAAAACTTTGCAGCTATAAACACTGTGAGTTGATATATAGAAATACCCAATACCAATACAGCCTGTAAAGAGGCAGTGCAGTAATTATATGGCATTTTTCACACAGAAAAATATTTGCCATTGAAGCACATGCCTAGGGAGAAAAAACACTCCAACTCAAATTGTTTGGATCCCTTTTTGTAATGCTTGTACAAATAATATTTACACAGTGAAGAAAACAGAATAGGAAGGTGTGTTTGATCATTTGTCTTTCAATTCTTACAGTTTTAAAAATAACACTATGAAAATTAAGCAAAGTCTGAACACAGAAGATACATGAAACCAAAAACAGTGCCCAGAAGACCATTAGGTGATGGTTTTATAGTTATATTTTAAAAACTGATATGTTACTTTCATATAGAAAATAAGCTTCCATGTTCAAATAAGTTGTTACATGAGATGTGCCTCAAATTGTATTGTGGCTAGTTCTGTATACTACTACCCCATGCCACTGATATGCCAATCACTATGCTTATGCATCAGCTTAAATTTAAATTTAACTGAGTTTCTTGCCTATAGTAAAAAATGAGTTTAATGCTGATGAACATTTTGAGTTTTTGGATCACTGATTTACAATCAAGGGCAGGTTTGATAAGATTTATCTTCCTACTAACAAACTACCTAAATATTCAATATAGTTTGGTGACTTATATTTTCTTTGTTTGAATTATAACCAGATGATATTTTGTGAATGACAGGTCAAAAATTCACCTACACTATTGTAATTCATTTCCCACCGATTTCAATTTACTTCAAATGCTATGAATAATCTTAAAAAGAAACGAGTAATCTTTTGAATAGACAAATCTGAAGATAGAAACAATTTCTACTGTACTGTTAGGTTAAATTTCAGACAGTCAGAGGCCACAACTCTGTCTATGGACTGTTACCCAAATGTGAACACTATTCTTACTCTGTACAAGCACTCATTAATGTTTAGAGCTGAAAATATCAAACACATCTTCCAACTTAGTTTGCTCTCTTTGGCAAAACTGTGAGATGTCAGGCTCTGACTTCCAGTTGCATATCTCCCAGATATGGTTAACCTACAACATACCTACCCTTAGCTTATTTATGACACACAAAATAATAATAAAAAAATCCACAGGGTTCTTATTCACAATATTTTTTGGAAAGCACATACACTGCTAAAAATGTTATTCTGAAGAGAAATAAACAAAGTAAGAAATTTATAAAAAATGCAAAACAGAAGTAAGATGTGCAAGGTCTACATAGTAATACTGCTGGCTACGCAGGTGTTTTTAGGCACCCAACATGGGTTAAGCTTAGATCATTAACTGAAAAATCATTCAGCACAGGCAACACTCTGCCCTCTCCAGCCTGTGTCACTACAACCCAGAAAAAAATGTATTTGTAACTATTATATGAGAAATCTATCTGAACTGTTAACATCTTTTCCAAACACAAAATGAAATCAAAAAATTTAACACTCAGAAAAAGTTATTTTACTTTCCTTTGGATACATTTTAAGCTTATTATTTGTATACACAATATTTTTTGTTTGTTTTTTGGACTTGAGGGCGAAACTTACAATAAAATTTATACAATTTACTAAGAAAATAAATGTGAGAAATTTTATATGAAGCCCAAAGTAATAAGTCTATTAGGAGGTATCAGTCAAAAAACATTTCTTACTCTGGACCACTGCTAAAATTTATGATGTCTCATGAGTTTGTAACATCTGACAGTTTTGTTCAGGTGCAATTTTTTTTTGTTAAAATTCTAAGGTATCACACCTTTTAACTTCTAAATTTGACGTTTATTTTAGAAAGTGGATGCATTGTTGCATAGAAGAGTTCTCTCAAAACTTCTTGGTTAACTACTGACAATATAGGTTCATGTCAAGGACTTATAGTTCAGTTTTAAGAAAAATGTTTTGGTATGTTTAAGGTAAGTCATAAAAGGAAGAAGGGTTTAATACTTAAAATTCCTATATCCTCAAACTTGTCTTTTATCCCTCTTAAAATTACTGTCTTATGATAAAATACATACATATTTATGAGGAATCTTTTAAACAAATATGATCTTGAATATCATACTGAACAAAAACAAAACAAACAATAAAAAAATAACTCTGGCATTATGCACATTAAACACTGTAAAAGAAAAGATCCTGGCAAAATATCAATATTATCACCTCTGATGACTCCCTGAAACTGGGAGAGGGATAATCCAATTAACTTGAAAAAAAATTTAGTCATTGTAAAATCCTTCTCAGGAAAGTTTGAGATTACATTCTTTACTAAGCAGATCTATCATTCAACATTGAATTCATACAGAAAGTTAAACACGAAACCCAGTTAGAAACAACCATGTTTTTTAGAACCTATTTTAAAGAACTGGTAGATGAACACTCGGGCTTTGTGCCTCCTGCAGGAAATATTGTTCCCCAGACAGTACTCAATTCAGAAGTTTAGTGTTTAAAAAGATCTCCCCTCAACCAAAACCAGCCCTTCCTCCCCCATCCCAAACAAACCCAACAACTTACATTATCAACATTTCTAATCCTACATTCTTGCTGTGAGAGAAAACCAGTGAGGATATGGACTACTGGAGGCTGAACAAACCTTGCAGGTGGGCTGCTGGTAAAATCCCGTGAAATTAAAGTATCTGAGTATCACCACATTCAAAACCAGCTCCTGGTACCGGTACCATCCACAAGAAACATGTTCCTTTTCAGAGTGTATCTTAAAAAAAGATGATTCCCCCCTCCAAAATCAGTACAAAGTTAAAAGAAATGGAAATCAGCTATGACCTATCCCAAGCGCAGCACCGCCAGAGATTCACACACACTATTTGGTGTTTCATGTTGGTTTTCCTTTCACTCTTTTAAGGCAGTGGTTTCCACAGGTCAGTTCAGAGATAAGAAGCATGGTTCATGGCAGTTTGTTTCGCAACTCCAATTTGTTCTCTGGGAATATCTCACTTTATTCCCTGAAATGAGTGCTTTTTGGTTCAGCATTCCCAAGGCTGGGATGGAGCCTGTGGGCTCTTCCTGGCACAGGATGGTTTGCCGCTGGCATTTTCCGTCAGGCCCCAGCTCTTACCCAGGAGCAGAGCTCCACTTCTTCCTCTTCAGGCTTTTACTCAAAAGTCATCAAGTTTGTAGGAACCTGAAATATATAAGCATCACAAATTAATTCTTTAAAAGCTGTTTTTCAAACTAGTATTTCTTATCTTTCCTTGTCTTTTAGGCAAGCCCAAATCTTTCTGACTTACATATATTTTAAAGGAATGCACTAGAAGGCATTTCAATAATTTATGAATAATGAATGTAATATACTATAACAGTTTAGAGAAAAAAAATCACTAAATTAATTTGCTCTTTCAAAAAAATTGATATCTAGACAGGAGGAATGGGAAGAAAGGGTATCTTTCTCAGCTCCATGAAAGCCAAGAAAGATGGGGGCTCCACACAGGTGCTTACTGAATGAACTAACTATGGTTCTTACAGGGATGAAATTCCAGACAGGCAGGCTTGCCATCATTTTCATTGTATGTCACAATCAATTCCTACATGCACATCTTAAAAATCATCACAGATGCTTTTATAACGATTATTAGGAACAGTTTTATGAAATCATTATTGAAATTATTATGAACTTCTTTGTGAAAAGAATAAAATTCATTACACAATTCTGATCTAATACTTTATGACTCTGAAAGATCAATAGGTTTTATAATAATTTACTGCTTACAGATTGTACAAAATCTGAAATACAATAATTCTCTGAAATGCTTTTCATTTTTAGAAATTAGTTGATGAATTCTACAGTTAAAGGACTAATAAAAGGTTTTAAAAAAAATAACAACAAACAAACAAGAAAACAAAACCCCAAACAAGAAACAAACAAACAAATCCACTCAATCCTGAAAACTGTTTCCAGGTTGCCCTGGCTCTCTGTATACCAGTGATCTCCTCCCTGTCCTTTAACACAGCTCAACAGTTCTCACAGGTCATCTGTCTTTCTTTCTGAAAGCTCTTATACTCAAAACCCTGTGTTTCTTAGATGTGCCAGCTTCTGAATGAGAATTCTATGGGAAATATAATCACAACTGAATTATAAATCAAAAATGCAATGCTCATGTGCTTAAAATGTAAATTCCCAAGTTTGGTTTTAAAAAATCCATAGTAAAGAGTAAAAGTTTCATTTCTTCCTAAATTATCTGTCATTTTAGGTATTTTGCATTTGAATCAGTCTTCTAAAAATTTTCAAATTTTGCAGGTTCTTTTTGTAAGTTTGCTTCACCCTGATTCTTACAAATGTGGAGCAAAGAAACAACAACAAAACAACAAACCTATTTATGCACATTTGGCTGACTTTGTTAGCAGAAAGGTCTTCCAATGCACAGTGAAAGAAACTGTGCCTCCATGCTGGTGTGTAAATACGGCCTAGATTAATCTTGGAATCTGAGGGTTATTTTTAATAAACAAGACTTGATACCCTAAGCTACATTTATTTATTTATTTGGTGCCAGAGATAGAACCCAAGGGTGCTTAACCACTGAGCCATATCTCCCTAGCCCTTTTTAATATTTTTATTTAGAGACAGGGTCTCAATGAGTTGCTTAGGGCCTCGCTAAGTTGCTGAGGCTGGCTTTGAGCTCATAATCCTCCTGTCTCAGCCTCCCGAGCTGCTGGGATTTCAAGTGTGTGCCACCATGCCTGGCTCCTAAGCTCCATTTAAAGAAAACATGTAGCATAATAAGTGAATCCTGAAAGGCTTTTGTCTTGGGCAAAAGATCTGTTTCATTCTGTCCCAGATACTAATGTGACAGGCAAGAAAAGAACTTTTGTATTTCATGTACTTTGTGGTGGTTACTAAAATATTAGTCTTTCACAAAGAAGTGAAATAAAAATGAGAGAACAAAGCTCACACCAACAATACTCATAAAGAATGGACTTAAAGAGTTCCTGTTGCAGGTCTACCACTTTTTACTTGTTTGATCTACCTAAGTGATTCAGTATCTCTGAGCCTCAGTTTCTTAACAGGTAATAACTTGAATACTAATATCAGAAGGTAAAAAATACTTTTATAAGCTTTCTCAACTTAGAGTATTATATTATTCAAAATTAGCTACTGATAACATTTACTGTGTTCTTTGGCATTATCAATACCCTAAGTCAATGATTTTTAAATATACTTAACTGGAGTCTAGTTCTATGAAATATATAAAGAAATTTTTGTAATTACATTTACTTGTTATCTACCAATTTGTGATTCAAATCTTAACTCTGCAACAGAGTGAGGAAAACAATGTGATAGATTCCTTCTTCTCTGTAGTGAAAGCCTTTCCATTAGACCATCTTTGTTTCAGTAAAACAAAAATATACAATAAGATAAAGAGGGATTTTGGTTTCACTGCAACCACAGGAAACTACCTCAAGTGGCCATCAATCAAAGATGAAGGAACAGTTTTTGTTAATTTAGAGGCCACCTTGCTCTTGCCCTACCTAGAGCTGTCCTCTTGCTATGCTGCACCGATGCTAGCTCCCTTCTCTATCTTGAACACTAAGCTAGTTCCAGCTTCAGGGTCTTTGCATGGGCTGGTCCCTTTTCCAGCACTCTGCGCTCCCTAATCCTCACATGGATGGTTCTTTCTTGTCATTCATGTCACTATCATCACCTTGGGGGGAAAGTCTCACTGATTTAGCTTTGGGTATCTGAAGCTGTCTCTACTCTCTATTTCACACAATTCTATTACATAGTTCTTATGAATTGGAATTTTGCTTTTTGTTTACTTGTTTATTATCTAGCTCCTGACTAAAGTGTAAACTTCACGTTTTGTTGACTATTACTAACAAGAATAAAAACACCACCATTTTCCCAGTTCATTAAGAAAACAAGTCTACTTCTTTTGGGAACTTTATTTATTTAGGCACTGGGAACTGAACCCAGGGGTACTTGACCACCAATCCGTATCCCAACCCTTTATATATTTTATTTTGAGACAGGGTCTTGTTAAGTTGCTGAGACTGACCTTGATCCTCCTGCTTCAGACTCCCAAGCAGCTGGGATTACAGGTGTGCACCACCATGCCCGACTGGACCTCTTTTTATGTTCCCAAGTTACAAACTGTTCTGACAATTAAGAAAAAAACTCACCTGTTGTTTGTTACTTTGGCAGGCTGCACTCAGATGCTTAAACCACAGCATTGCATTCATTCTACTGCCAGCTTGAAACTTGTATGAATTCCCTATAATTACCAAAAACAAGAAGAAAGCGATAAGGATTTTACCACATAGTAACTCTTCCAGATATTAAAGAGTGAATTAAACATCACTAGAGTTCTGTTTCAGGATCCTATTCATTTAATACCTAGTCTCCTACTACAAATAAAAAGAATAGTTCTCTGTGTAACCCATCCAAATGCTATCCTATATTCAGAAAGTCACTGTTTTACAGCTTATAAATGATCTTTAAAATAATATATACATAAAGATGGCTTCTCCAGGTTTGTCTCTGTGGATAGATGATCTAAAATTAGATGTTAATAAGTTTTTGCAGCCAAAGGGCTTCAACCTGTGTTGTTTAAAAATACATAAACATTAGCTATTCAACATGATTAAGGATTAATCAGGTAGCATCAACATGGGCTCAGCTTTCAGCCTTGAGTCAACCAGTCATTTATCAGGATCACTGCAGAACTGGAGAGTTCGGCTGGGGGCTCACTGGAAATGTCTAAGATGTCTTTTTTCTCTTTTATGAAATTGGAAATCATTGTGTGGCGTGTATTCAGGAGTTCCTATGCTGTCTAATCAAGGCTGACACACTAAGGGTATTTATATGGCTATATATATTAAGATGAGTAAAGAATAAAATGAGAAAGATACATGTACTAAAGGCTGCTCTGAGTTGAGCTTTGCTTACTTTTCTCACTGATGTAAGTTCTTATTTCACAATTCTTCTGAAGTATACTTTTCTTTATATCTGCCTTCAGTGATTGAGGAGCCTGACTAGATTCAAATATTGTCCAGCTTTCCTTTGAGATTTTAACACTTAAAAGTTTTCACTTTCAGAAGCAACTGCTTCTTCACCCAATGTTTACTAGGTCAGATAACACTGTTTTGATTACTGAATTCAGATACAGACTTAAGGTCAATAGAACAGAACACATCTACAATTAAGCTGGTCACAGCTACAATTTATACCCCAACCCCAATCCCCAGTACAAACATTATGAAAACCTTGGCTATATTATGCTAAGGAAAACAAAGAATTTCTTAGCAAAATTCAATGATTTTACTCTAAAATGTAATTTTATAAATAATGCCTTTGCGATTTTGTGGGGCTGGGGCTTTTAATTGAGAATGTTGACTAGGGAGTGCTTATTGTGTAAATCAATCTATTTCCCTCAAAACAAGACATTTTGCTATGATTATTTTTTTCTGCATCTAAATACAGATTTAATTTTTTACTTAAAACTATAGCATCCAAAAAACAGAATTTCTGTTGATACAAAATACCAACTAAATAAATGCAGGTCAAGATACAGTTGTAAAGTCAACAGAAGTTAATGAGTTCAGTTGTGAATAGCTGGAGTGGATGGTTTTGGCGGATGTGGCGAGTATCTCTCTTCTGGCCTCCTCTGGGGTGCTTGTGGACTAATAATGGTGGCCATTATTAGGGAAGAGCAGCAACCAGGGAAGGAGTCTCCCATGGACCCTGTGGCATTCACTGAAGGGGCAGGAAGAGCCAGGAGGTGTGGAGTGATCTACACAGTCCACCCTCCACTTTTTCTCCTCTGCCAGACACAAGAGCTTGTGCCTTTAATCTCAGCTACTCCAGACGCTGAGGTGGGAGGAATGTTAGCTCCAGGCCAGCCTGGGTAATTTAGGGAGACTATCTCTCAAAAAAAAAACAAAAAAAAACCAAGACAAAACAAAACCCAACCCATTTTTACCTCTTCCATTTTATGACATCCAATGGTTAATAGTCGATTGTTGTATTCACAAATGTCTCTGTTTTATAAAGTATCTTAACTGGCAAGGGATTTGAGCCTACAAATTAATTTAAAATAATGAAATAAAGAGTTTTTAAAGAAAAACTTTGTCACTTTCAGAACTTGAGAACAACCTCCTACTGGAGGGCTTGGCAGGGGAGCATTGCCTGCAGGGCACTCACTGACATTTTAAAGTAACAGATGCCCTCCCTCCCTCCCTGGTTATCCCTTTAGGGATTACTTGGGCTTTAATGTTTATGCTTATGTAGTGGAGAAAATAAGCTCTAAAAATATTGGGTTCCTTAAAACACATTATGTGACAAAAATACTTCCTAGTAGATAAAAGCCACACCATCACGTTCCCTGTTGAATGGAACACTCAACATTAAACCAGTTTTAGCTCCTCAAGTTAGGTACACACAGCATCTTCAACACTAGTCATGCTAACAGTTCACCTTTCTCAGAGTCTGTCAGCAGGAAGAGGTCTGGATGTTCTGGGTCATCAGCCATCATCACCATCCATCCCACCACAGAGACGGTCTTATTTGATGTTGATTTGAACTGAGACAAAAAGATAATTAGTAAAAACAATTAGTAATAATTAGGGGAAAGACAGTGAGCAAAAGTTAAGAGAGAGTGTATTTTCAGTTGCTCCTAATGAGAGGTCAGATTTGTGACTTCCTGGGCTGGGGTTGTGGCTCAGTGACAGAGCACCTGCCTAGCACATGTGAGGCACTGAGTTCGATCCTCAGCACCACATAAAAATAAATAAGTAAAGGTACTGTGTCCATCTACAGCTTAAAAAAAAAAAAAATTTGCAATTTCCTGCTGGTCCAGGTCAGCTTGGGCCTTTTCCTAGTAGGCTGCATGTAGGCACGCCCTCTTCAGACAGCCTACTTCTTTTCAGACCTTCCTAGTTTCAGTTTTATTTTCCATTCCCTCAGAGCATGACTTGCCCGAGTTAAAGGATAATCTCATTCATGAACATAAATGCAAACAAACAAACAACAACAACAACAAAAAAACCCAAAAACCCAAAAACGCTAGAATATTGGCATATTGACTCTAGCAGTGTGTAAAAAGGCTGCTAAAAGATAACATATAGGGTTGGGGCCTTAGCTCAGTAGGAGAGTGCTTGCTTAGTATGTGTGAGGCACTGGGTTCGATTCTCAGCACCACATATAAATAAAATAAAGATCCATTAACAACTAAAAAAAATTAAAAAAAAATACTGTATAAAGAGAGTAAAAAAATAAGTTAAACGAATTGGAACAAGGTATTTATAACAAATAACTGCTAACAGATTTGCATCTGGGAAATATAAAGAACTTTTATCAATTAAAGTAAGTAAAAGATTTATCCAGGCATTTCACAGAACAAGAAACATGGATGACCAATAAACACTGTTAAGTATATAGGGGCATACAAATTAAAATGATCAGGCAACATTTTATCCATACTGGATTAGTCAAGATTAAAGAGCCTAACAATAAGACGTATGGTGAAGATATGAACTTCATTCTACTACTGGTGACTGTGACTCTTAATTTGGTATATTCTTGTAAAGTAATATTTGCATCCCGCAGATACATAACCCAGAGAACCTGTGCAAAAAAAATATTCACAGCAACAGTTAGAAATAGTAAAGAAATGGAAGTCATTCAAATATTCACTAATAATAGAGTGATATCAATAAATCAAGACAGACTCATAAAATGGAAGACTATTCAGTTGTGAAAAGGATTAAAGGACAACTATATGCATCAACAACAATGAATCTCAACAAACAGACAAAAAAGCTTGTGCTTAAGAATGTGTATGTGACCCATTCAGGTACAATTAAAAAATAAAACTAAGTATTGTGTGAGGAAGCAAATATAAATCTCTAAGGAAAAACAAGGCAATGAGGAACATGAAATTCAGGACAGTGATGGGCTGTGGGGACAGCTGATGGGAAAGGAAGAGGATGCTAATCTGGGGAGGCTTTGATAGTCTGGTAAATTCTGATCCTTAGGCTGGGTAGAACTTGAATACATGTTTATTTTATTTACTTTGCTTTAAAATATGTATGTACCTATCTACTTTGTAGTATGCATGTTTCACAATGAAAAGAAATGGGAAAAAGGACTGAACACAGCACATTTGTAACAATATAGTTACTTAAAAAAAAAGCTAAAGAAATAAGCTTTAATATTATGAGGAATGAAATTAGCAATACCAAAGAACAGCTGACTTGAGACTCATAATTTATTTTAAAGTAGACAGTATGATTTTTTTCCTTTTTCTTTTTTCAGTACTAAGGATTGAATCCAGGGGTGCTTTATCACTGAGCTATATCCCCAATCCTTCTTATTTTTTAATTTTAAGACAGGGTCTATATTGCTAAGGGCCTCTCTAAATCACTGAAGCTGGCCTTGAACTTGTGATCCTCCTGCCTTAGCCTCCTAAATTGCTGGGATTATAGGCATGGGCCATGGTGAAGTTGCTGGGATTATAGGCATGGGCCATGGTGCTGGGTGATAATATGGTTTCTAATATTCTTTTCTTACCTCTCAAAAATCTCTGCAATAAGCCCCTCAATATAGAGGGATCAATCTATAAATACAGTGCAATGACCTTTGACCCCCAGCTGAATCCTATTTTGCTCCCAGGATTCATCATTATTTGGGGTGAGACACCCCATATCTTTTTTCTATGCATTTACTTTTTTGTGTTATTTTTGCCGCTGGTTTTTAATATACCAATGGGAGTTTGTTTATACTTTGACTTGTGGTTTGTACTCATCTGTAATGGTTCTTTTATTGATCTCACCATAACAATATCAATTTAAGTTTCTGATAACCATGAATCATAGTACATGTTTCCCTACTCTATGGACAATGCAATATTATCAAAAAAGTGTCTTTCTGTGATTTTTGTTAACTAGTAATGTTGATTATTTTTTTCCTATATGTTACCTATCTGTATTTCATCTTATATTTCCCTTTGACATGTTTCTGTTTTATTCTTAATCAGTCATGGAATATGTTTTTTCAAGTGCAGATTTGATTTTAACAATTTAACCAAACAATATTTTTTCACTCACTACCATGTAGTGATAGGTTCAAACATATCTATGAATTTTCTTAATAATAAATACACTTCCACTAAAAACTATTTTTACATGAGTATGCTTTCATTTATAAACATTAAAAAATAGAGTCCCTTCTTTCTTCCCACACATTCTTCCCAAACTTTCTCTGATCCCCATTGACAAAAAATTGTATTTTAGAGAAAAGATTTAACTCCAGGATTCAACCAGAACCACATACACTACAATTAGCTGTCAAGTATCTTTTGATCTAGAACAACTGTCCCTTAACATCTCCTCTACCTGCCTTTTTTTTTTTTAAAGAATCCAGGCTGGCTGTCTCATACAATGTCCTACAACCTGAATTTGATTGCTACCAAAACCACTATACAGATTTAATTCAATTTCAATCAAAATCCCAATGACATGACTCATAAAAATAGAAAAAGCAGTCATGAAATTCATCTGGAAAAATAAGAGATCCAGAATAGCTAAAGCAATCCTTAGCAAGAAGAGTGAAACAGGTGGCATCCCTATACCAGACCTTAAACTACACTACAGTGCTACAGTAACAAAAATGACATGATATTGGCACCAAAATAGACTTGTAGAACAATGGTAAAGAAGAGAGGACACAGAGACAAACCCATATAAATATAGTTATCTCATAGTAGACACAGGGGCCAAAAACATATATTGAAGAAAAGATAGCGTCTTCAACAAATGGTGCTGGGAAAACTGGAAACCCATATGCAGCAAAATGAAACTAAACCCCTATCTCTCACCATGCACAAAATCCATCTTAAAGTAGATCAAGGACCTAGGAATTAGACCAAGACCCTGTGCCTAACAGAGGAAAAAGTAGGTCCAAATCCTCATCACATCAGATTAGGGCCTGACCTCTTTAATAAGAGTTCTAAAGCGCAAGAAATAAAATCAAGAATTAATAAATGGGATGGACTCAAACTAAAAGGATTCTTCTCAGCAAAAGAAACCATCAATGAGGCAAAGAAAGAGCCTACAGAATGGGAACAAATTTTTACCACACGCACATCAGACAGAGTACTAATCTCTACTAATCTCTAGTATACATAAAGAACTCAAAAACTTAACACCAAAAACAAAACAAAAAAATCCAAACAAACAAACAAAAAACAAAACAAAACAAAACACAAAACCCAAATAACCAAATCAATAAATGGGCTAAGGAGCCGAACAGAGACTTCTCAGAAGAAGATATACATTTGATCAACAAATATATGAAAAAATATTCAACATCTCTAGCAATTAGAGAAATGCAAATCAAAACTACTCTAAGATTTCATATCATTCCAGTCAGAGTGGCAGCTATTAAGAATACAAACAATAAGAAGTGTTGGTGAGGATGTGGGAAAAAGATCACACTCTTTGCTTTCATTCATTGCTGGACTGCAAACTGGTGCAACCAATCTGGAAAGCAGTATAGAGATTCCTTGGAAAACTTGGAATGGAATCACCATTTGATCCAGCTATCCCACTCCTTGGTTTATACCCAAAGGGCTTAAAAATCATCATACTACAGTGATGCAGTCACATCAATGTTTATAGCAGCACAATTCACAATAGCTAAACTGTGGAATCAACCTAGATGCTCTTCAATAGATAAATAAATAAATGGGTAAACTGTGGTATCTATACTCAGCATTAAAAGAGAATAACATCATGGAATTTGCAGGTAAATGGATGGAGTTGGAGAATATCATGCTAATTGAAGTAAGCCAATCCCAAAAAACCAAAGGCTGAATGATTTCTCTGATATGTGGATGCTGATCCATTATGGGGGTTTTGGGGGGCGGGCATGGGAGGAATGGAGGAACATTGGATAGGACAAAGGGGAGAGGAGAAGAGAGGGGACATGGGGGTAGGAAAGATGGTGGAATGAGATGGACATCATTATCCTAAGTACATCTATGAAGATACAAATGGTGCGACTCTACTTTGTGTACAAGCAGAGAAATGAAAAATTGTGCTCTACATGTGTAATATGAAATGAAATGCATTCTGCTGTCATGTATAAAAAATTAGAATAAGACAAAAAAGAAACCAGGTTGGCTGTCTCATACAATGTCCCACAGCCTAAATTTGATTGCTTCCTCATAAAATTCAGGTTAAATATTTTGGCAAGAATATAATATAGTGGTGCTATATATAATAAAGATTTTATCTGTTGCTTATCTATAGCAGATATTTTCATTCAGTTTGTGTTTTAATTTTGTTTGAAATTAGTTCAAAACTGTTTTTTCCTTCATTGTTTTTAGTTCTGTGCCATATCACTCCTAATCCCCAAATTAATACTGAATATAGATGCAGACCTGTCTCTATGCCTTCTATCCTGTTTTGAATAGCTTAAATCTGAAAAGGTAAGGAATTCAGTCTATTTTCTGGGTACTCAGTTTTATTTTCTTACAATCTGCTATCTTCTAAATTATTTCATATGCATCATTTATTAGAAATCTCATGTAGGGGCTGGGGTTATAGCTCAGTGGCTGAGCGCTTGCCTCACATGCGTGAAGCACTGGGTTCAATCCTCAGCACCACATACAAAAATATATAAATAAAACAAAGATATTGTGTCCATCTACAACTAAAAAAAAAATAAAAAAAAAGAAATCTCATGTAATTAACTTCAAACTATAATAATGGATTAGTATATATTAGTATGTATTAAGTGGCAAGGCCAAACAGAAAGCAATGCTTAGCAGATGCACTATATGACAAATTCAGTTATAACTTCTATAATTTAGCTCTGATTAAACCTAAGGAAAACAAAACAAAATCCCACTTTATTTTTGAAAACCTACTTCTTTAAAGTTGTCAACCAATTGAAATTTAACCAACGAGTATCTCAAAGTGCTACCTGCTCTATATCTGAAGACAAACGGCACAATTTAACTACAACCTTTTTTCTCCCTCTGTATTCAGAGTACTAATTAGAGACAATCACTCTGCAAAATGTGCTAATGAAACTAATCAGTGTGACTTTGTAGGGTATGCTAGGATCACTTATATTATTACCGACAATGAACACCATTCTATTAAAAACTCCTTTTATAAAGAATATGCTTTCATTTGTAAACTACATTTGACCATTCAGAACAGTCAGAACACAACGTATATTCACAGAATGGATCTCCATGATCACTCACTCAGTCCTTTATCTCAATGCAAGAACTATCTGAAGGGCTGGGGTTGTGGCTCAGTGGTAGAGCACTTGCCTAGTATTGAAGCACTAGGTTAGATCCTCAGCACTGCAAATAGATAAATAAAATAAAGGTCCATTGACAACTAAAAAAATATTTTTAAAAACCTCTCTATTAGGGGGGAAAAAAAAAGAGCTACCTGAACCACTAGAATAGTAAGCAAAAAGCCACTGCTTAAGACTATCTGATTCTAGGAGTTGGTGGTGTGGCCCAATGGTAGAGCATGAGCTTAGCTTGCCCCAGGTCTCAGGTTCAATGACCATCACCAACAACAAAACACACACATAGCCCCCACAATGTGTTATTTACGGAAACATAAATTATAACACCCTTAAGAAAAGCAAGACATGAAACTTAGGAAAGCGGCATGTTAGTGGGAATGCATGATAAGGAAGGCAATGCAATCTCATAGCACCTCCTACATCCATTTAAACCCAAATTGCCCTTTTCTATACTTTTGGTTTGATTAAGGGCTAAAACTGTGAGGATAAAGAAGAACACCTCCGATTCATACAGTATCATTTGTGAAATTAATAAGTAGAAAAAATATTTAAGTTTTCTTTAGTGGCTTGCCTTTCCTTGGTAGGGTAAAACAATTTCCCCTTCCCAAAACACATGATTTAGAAATAAAACTTCTCTTAAAGGGATTTTATTTATGTAACATGAGAAACTGTCTCCCTTTCAAAGACTGTATCATTGGCATATAAACACAAAACAGCATACAAAAGGGATTTATAGGGAGATTCTACCCTGAGAAGAGAGCACAGAGGAGCTTCTGTCAAGTGACATGGAGCACAGGAGAACAGAACTTAGACCACTGTATTCAAGACTGAGATGGAAAGAACTTTAGATGTTGGTCCTAGATTTTCACATTTTACTCGAGGAAATGAGACTACAACTAAACCACAATCTCAGAGGTAAGTAAGCTTTCATGCCAAGATAGATACTCGTAATGTGCAGTTTTGATACTTGCAATGGAAAAATGGTATTCAAAAAAGACACTACACCCAAGAGAGGTTATTCCAAGATGTTCCCTTGGTATGCTGTAAGGAAAAATAATTCCATTACAGTACTCACACCAGAAGTAAGTGTAAGAACTTCTGGGTTAGAACAAAAAATTCTTGCAACTTTTTAGGTCTATTTTCTTTATAATCACGAAAAGGTCTATAAAACAATGCTAAAAATTTAGAAGAATACTCACATGTTTTCTTTCTGTAGCCTTCAGAGATTTGGCAGCATAGTAAAAAAGTTGTGTTCCACACAAGGCCGCCCAGTATTTTGTCCAAGATGCTACCTAGAGAGAATAACACACAAATATACTATTAATATATTATGACTTCTTGGGCTGGGGATGTGGCTCAAGCGGTAGCGCGCTCGCCTGGCATGCGTGCGGCCCGGGTTTGATCCTCAGCACCACATACAAACAAAAATGTTGTGTCCGCCGAAAACTAAAAAAATAAATATTAAAATTCTCTCTCTCTCTCAAAAAAAAATATTATGACTTCTCAGTTTCTTTACTTTCCTTAGTGCCCATGATCCACTCTTTACTTCAACCACATAGTCCTCGCCTCAGAGTTGAGTGGTAGCAGTTCTGAAATCATTATCTCAAATAATTCTATCACTTTCAGCTCATATACTCTATAACTCTCATTCATGTTTTCTTAAATTCTTCTTCTTTTTTTTTTGATGGTACTGGGGATTGAACCCAGGTCTTTGTGCATGCCAGGCAAGTGCTCTACAACTAAGCTCCATTCCCAGCCATCAGTTAATTCTTGATCTCGTCAAGAATCCTGTCTCATACTGCCACTGCCTCCTTGCTGCCACACGTCCTCCCCCCTTTCTTCATGCAGGCTATAATTCCATGGTCTAGCACCACAGCCAGTTCCCACCAGCACTTTAATTCCACAGCCCCTCTATCCCGATAAAACCCTAACCCCTAGTCAAATCCACCCATTTAAGTACTTGGCACCATATCATAGTAGCTGAATATTATTGAAGAAATAACATGATTATGCCAAGTGACAAAATCAGGATTGCCAATCTCAAATGGAAATAGTATTTTCCTTTTCCCAATCTAGTCAACATACTCTTTACCTTCTCCTCAAAATTTTAACCCTAATCTCCCTCCATGTCATGACACACTTCCTGGAGGTGAGAACCACCTCACATTCCCAGTGTGAATTCCTTACGCCTGTTTTGTAGATCCTTATATTCAGCCTTTGTTCTTGCTACAACAGACTGTTAAGCCGGTTCTATGTAAAGACAAACTCAGCTTTCTTCTTGTGCCCTTGATTCTCACTAGCCTCATTTTCAGGTCTGCTTTTGCCATAAGGCTGCTCTCCACTGCATCTCCCCCTCCACCATCATCATACAAAGGAGTCTTAACAGCATTTCTACCTTAAAAGTCCCTCCTTTCTCCCAGGCCTTCACCCTCTTGACCCCACATAATTTCTTTGCTCCTTTTCACAGCATTACTTATTACAGGGCGTGTCTAATTCCCTGTCCCTACTTCTAATTCGTCTATTTCCTACTTCATTTGGTTTTTAGGCTGTTGGGGTCACTGGCTGCTGACATCCTACCAAAGGCTTTGTCCTTATCACAGTCAATCTCCTAGAGCAAGTATGCCTATAATTTCATGGTCTGGCTGTATATCCAGTCCCTTTCAGCTGACCACTCTTCCTGCTTGAAGTACTTTAACTGCCAGGTTTCTGGGATGAGTTTCTTTGTTTTCCTTTAGTCTTCCTATCACAGACTTTTGATGCCACAGAGCTTTTCAGTGCTTTTTCTCTTCCTCAGTGATACTTTCTTCTTAGATAATCTTCTCATCTAGCTGCATACCTCAAATATTATCTGTATGCTAATGACTTCCAAATTACTATTTCTGGCCACCATCCCTCTATAGAATTCATCAACTGTACTTTTTTAAAGCTAAACAGACAGTTCAACTTGAATGTTTAATAAACATGTCAAATGGAACCTGGCCAAGAATTAGCTGGCCCCTTCATAGAAAAAATGTTACCAACATCCACCTTCATCAGGTCCCAAATCCAGAAGTCACCTTCATTTCCATGTAACATCACCAAACAGCTCTGGCCTGACTTCCTGCACTTTTTTAAATATATATTTTTTTAGTTGTTGATGTACCTTTATTTAATTTTTAAAAATTTATTTATATGCGGTGCTAAGGATGGAACCCAGGGCCTCACACATGCCAGGCAAGCGCTCTGCCACTAAGCCCCGGCTCCAGCCCCAGCCCCACTCCTGCACTTTTTAAAAAATTTTAATTTATTTTTTTTTAGTTGTACATGGACACAATACCTTTATTTTATTTGTTTTTATTTTTATGTGGTGCCGGGAATCGAACCCAGTAAAGTGCTCTACCACTGAGCCACAACCCCAGCACCCCCCCATCTCCTGCACTTTTAATGCATCAATCACACAGGCCTACTTGTCTCTAGGTTTAACTGCACCAGGCTACTCACCTTCTCCAGATCTTGGCCAAATGCCCTCCTACCACACCATCATTCTGTATCCCATGGCCTTATTTTAAGGGCTTACACTGTTTCTCCTTACTGGAACTAATCTCCACGAGGCATTCATTGCCCTATTTGTAGCTTCTGGCACAAGAGCAAGAGTGCCTGAAGCTACAAATCTGACACTATTCTGAACTCACTGGATGGTCTAGTGCAGCTTCCTGATTCTGTGTGTCTTGGTTTATTGTGATATAAGCAGTGAAATAAGATTATTTAGATGGAAACCATTTTTATATTTTAAGAAACCTTTATATTTTCAAAAGCTTTTAAATATGATAACATGTCCAAGGTTTTATATTGCAAATTAGATAAGCTATAATGTTATTTGAGAAAAGAAAAAGAGCTCTTTTTTGTCGTCAAGCTACTATGCTGATGTCAGGAAAGAATAAACTTCTTTGCTATAGATGAAAAGCTTTGTTCCACTAAGCTTTTTTTCCCTCACTATAGTTATAGTTTGGAAAACATTTACTATCTGAGTCATATTTTGTAAGAAAACAAGAATGCATTAAAGAGATTCAAATAAACTGATGAAATAAAATTGGTCAATTTCCATTTTTTAGGGTTGTTATTATTTTCTATTTTCCTAAACATATTACTCTAGTATTATTCCTTTTTTTTTAAAAAAAAATATTTTTTAGTTATACATGGACACAATATCTTTATTTTATTTATTTATTTTTGTGGTGCTGAGGATTGTACCCAGTGCCTCAGATGTGCAAGACATGCGCTCTGCCACTGAGCCACAACCCCAGCCCTCTAGTACTTCTTAATGATATACTTTCAGAGTTATCTAAGTAAGTTTTGTTTAAGAATACACTAAAAGGTAAAGAGAAGTACAGTAGTATCTTGATTTAAGCACCATTAACATAATTAACCTGAAATCTGCACGACAGGTGTTGAGGAATATGGTGGGGAAAATGTATATTTTAGTTTACTTCAAGTCTACTACATACTTGATTCTTTTTCAACTATTTAGTACTTCTCAGCATCTTATGCATTTGCACATTTTTAGAGATGTGTTAAAATATAACATAATAAAATCTTACTGTAGGCTTTTTGCCTTCTTTTAACAAAGTTTTTCTCCTGAGAACACCTTGAATAGTAACAGCTCCTGGATACAAATGTACTGCCAAATCTTCTGACTCTGCAGAACTGTAATAATGAAATGAAAAAAAGAACAAGTAAGAGCTTTTGTCGATAGTAGTCATTTATTAGGTACTTAAATAAAACAAAATTATTAATTTAAAACTTTGCTGCTTTATTCAGAGTCGAGATGACACAATTTTAAAGGTTTATTAATCCAAAATTTATAAGCTACCACAAAAGTTAATTATAAAGTTACTAAAGTCAGCAGATGGCTAAACACACAAACACACTATTACATATTTGAACAAGTATAACTGAGAAAGAATGCAGGAATTCACTTTAATAAAGATTACATTAAGAATTTAAGATTTTTTTCTTCTTTTTATCATGCCACACTGACTGCATCACTGTTGTAATTTTATTTTCCTGATTAGAAACTTTAAGTCCTGGTAAGAAAGATGAAGATTCTATTTGTTAGAAGTCTTTAAATATATAAACTGAAAATTAAAAAGAGCAGAAGCTCAAAAAAGGAAAAAAAGAGAAGATTCATGCTTAATTCTAAAATAAAAAAAGGCAAAAATCACATTTAAAAAATGGTTTCTACAATACATTTGAATATCTATCTATCTATCTATCTATCTATCTATCTATCTATCTATCCATCCATCCATCCATCCAACTGGGGCTTGAATCCAGGGGTGCTCTACCACTGAAATATTTCCCTAGCCCCTTTTTTATATTTTGAGACATGGTCTTGCTAAGTTGCTCAGGCTGGTGTTAAACTTGCAATCCTCTCACCTCAGCCTCCCAAGTCACCGGGATTGCAGATATATGCTTTTAATACCTGGCTTTTAATGACACTTAAATGTTGCCAATGCATAAGTGGTTTTTGATTATGGTCTAACAGCTCTCCAAGAAAAGAATAACCCCAACTCCAAACTTCCTTTTCATAAATCTTTTTAAAAATGATCACAAAATAATTCAACATTTAAATATCTTTCTTCAACTGATTCAAGATACCACATATAAAGAATTGAGTTCTACATGAATCAATTAAGATGTACACACTGATAAAAATGTCATTGGTGATTTGATATTAGATGCAGAATTACTACAACAACAAAGAAAACAGAAGTTTTCCCAGTTTATTCCTTTATGATTATTTAGGTGTCTTCAAAGTGACTTAAAAACCCTAGAAGCCAGCAGAAACTTCCGGCTAGAGTACTTATATTCAAGGAAGATTAGATTCTATTGAATTGACCTAAAGCTTGCTATCTTGCTGTATTCTGAATTGGTTGATTACCTATCATAACTCACCCTCATATCCCAATCACTGACCCATCCTTAGTTGTTTCCATAGCTAATATGGGCAGAAAGAGGCCCAGTTTAGCTAAATGAAGAACTGAATGAATATGAGTTGAAATACACAGATAGTATTTAGTGAAATAGACATGTTTAAATTCAAGTTCTGTGGTTTATCTGAAAAAAAAAAATTCTTAAAAAAGACAAATCAAATGTAAAATTATTAGCAAAGTAAACATTTTGATTGCAGCTGAAGAATAACAAGCAGATTTTTTTAATTGCTCATCCAATAGCTAGTAGCATTATAAAGACCTGTGCAGTTAAAAGGTTATCAACTGGGAAACAATTTAGAAAAATGTGACATAAAGATGCAAGTTTTAGCAATTAGCTCTGTGGATCAGAAAGAATGGTTTAAATTTATCTCTACATTCAATCTTAAAAAGAAAGTTTTCATGGGCAATTTGTTTAGCTTGAAAACCAATTAGTTGAGAAAGAACAGAAATAATGTCAGACCACACCCATGTATGCCAATCACCAACACCAGAGGGGATTTCTGTGACCCCTAGGTACAGGGGAATTGTACCTGCTGGCCTTCATGTGGCTTCGATAGCCATTTCGTGCCACTCTTGTCACCGGGCCGAGAGAATGGTATAATCTGTTCCTGTTGGATTCCATTATAAATTGTATGTATTACATATACTTTCATTCACATAATCATCAACACCTAGAATAGTATAATAGCTTGTTCATGTAATACAGCTTTCTAAAACTTGCAAGGCTTTCTAAATCTTGCAAGAGGACAGTATATGATTATTCCTCTTTCTTTTTTAAAGTAGGCAGCATGATTTTTTAAAACAATTTACTGACTCTAGAAATACATACTATACATTTACATATACATTCACTTTTGCAAATCTGCCAAAAGAATTAAAAATAGCCAAATAATATAAAAACCTGAACAATGTTCCATAAATCCTTATTTCTATTCTACTTCTTGGATTTCAGTTTAAATATGATGCCCAGATTTATTTACATAATTCATATTTATTACATGGTCCCTATGAAGACACCTAAAAGCAATGTGGCTTGCAAACTTAAAACTAATAGGAAAACCTCTTTATTCTTGATAGTAAATCAAAGAAAAAAAAGAAAGGAGACAAACTTAAGAATAAATATATTATTCTTATTATTTTAATTCTACATCAATTGACAAAGTCAATAAATGACAAAAAAAGAATGAGCTAGTGTTTACCCCAAATGCCACCTCATACTTAAAAAAGGAAATAAATACAAACACACTGAAACACTGATACTACTCTGCCTGGGAAAAGCTATAAGCAGCATTAATGACAAATGATATTTAAAACAAAAGACAAAGTTTTAGTATCTTAAGCAACAACATATTTGATGTCTCTATAGGAAATAAGAACAGAAAATGATTCTAAAATTCAGGGTACTGTTTTCAAGTTCCCTATCCACACATAATATTTTAAATTTTATTTCTATATTCACTTATTATTTCATGACCGAATTTTGCTGGGCATCACCCATTTTACAGTTACAAAATGTTCCAAGAGCCACTAATTTAACCCATTAAGTTCCATTTTTTCTCTATTTCAGTGAAATTGATATAAGTGCATTAAACAATGTTAGAAATAATAATCTAGATCTTATATATTATAATCTAATCATATTTTTCTTGTTATAATTATGCAATTGTATCATATACTATATTTAAGTTTCCATAGGTATTTCACATCTGGGACAATGGGACAAAAGGAGTTAAAACTGTCACTTTTTTTTTTAGCTGCACCTTTTTTTTTTTTTTAAATTTTTTTATTTAGAGACAGGGTCTCACTAAGTTGCTTAGTGCCTCATTTTTGCTGAGGCTGGCTTTAAACTCATGATCCTCCTGCCTCAGCCTCCCAAGCCACTGGGATTACAGGTGTGTGCTGCCATGCCCAGCTTAGCTGCACATTTTTGCAAAGGAAAACATGTATTGTAAAAGAAAAAATGTTTTGAGATGTGAAGGTAACACCATTAAGTACTGCATTCATAGGTAACCTGCTGGGATGAGAAGGGTTTAGTAACACCATCACCCTAGGGTACTCACTTATAACTCAAACAATGTTTTAAGAAACAATTTTCTTAATCATTACCTTTTTTTTTTGGTACTGGGGATTGAACCCAGGGGTGCTTAATCACTAAGCCACATTCCCAGTAACACCCCCCCCCCACTTTTTTTTGTATTTTTATCTATAGACAAGGTCTCGCTGAGTTCCTTAGTGCCTTGTTAAGTTGCTGAGGCTGGCTGTGAACTCATGATCCTCCTGTCTCAGCCTCCTGAGCTGCTGGGATTATAGGCTTGTGTCACCATGCCTGGCTTACTCAGTACTTTTTATCTAAAAATTAATAATACACTTTATAATCAAGATACTCTTTCTAGAGGGAAAGACAATTTGTACAAATTCAGAGAGCATACCAAGGGCAACTCTTGTGTTTTTGCCATTTCAGACAAACCCAAATTTAGAGAATGAAAGTAAAAGTGGGAAGAGAAACAATAAAAAAAAAACCAAACTGTTAAGAATTCCCAAAATAGGGTTGTGGTTGTGGTTGTGGCTCAGCGGTAGACCACTCGCCTAGCATGTGTGAGGCCCTCGGTTTGATCCTCAGCACCACATAAAAATAAATAAATAAAATAAAGGTATTATTGTGTTCAACTACAACTAAAAAATAAATATTAAAAAAAAAAAAGAATTCCCAAAGTAGAACACAACTTGGGAACACTGATAATTAGAAAAGAAAAGATTAACAAGTATTTTGAAATATAGGGCTTATAAGTAAAATCTTATCATGTAATAATGAGAAATCTTTATGAAGTTTCATCAGGAATAAGGATCTAATTTCCCAAATAAAAAGCCTGAAATTAATCAATTCAAAATTAATTTGTTTTCTATGAAAAAGACACTGGTAGGGAATTAAATAAGTAAACACATAAAGGTATTTTTTTTTAAAAAAAGTATAATAATACAAATATCCCTAAAGGAATATTTAATATTTTCAATTCCAGTTTTCCTGTGACAGTAACATACAATTTAAATGTTGCTTAGAAATTTAGCTGCATAGTTTATATACAAAATAGAGCAATTATTTTGGTCAAGAGTCAAATGGACTGTGAGTCTGAGAATGGTAATACTGAAGTGGTCAGATATATGTAAGAATCTTGAACTATTAAACTGTCTGGCTACATTCTCAGGGAAATCTTGTATTTAAAGTTCAACACAACATATTTACTCCACATAGATGACAGTTTTTATAGCTTAAAGCAACAAGGAAAGAAGGGAGCACAGCTGATATTGCAGTACCAAATACTATAGACTCTGTACTCTCTAAAATTTTGAACTCAAACTTCAAGCTGTTTTATATATAGTACAATTTAAAATCTACCAAGTCAATGTGCCCTTCACAAAGTGAATAAAGTTGACCATTACACTAAATGCCTCAGTATTACTTAAAATTACACAGACTTAATTGAGGAAATAATTTTATTTTTGAATGTGCAAGTGAATATATGAGTAGATAACTATAATTGGTTATTATTGAAATTTTATTATTATTAAAAACTATTCAATTTTAAATGTATTTAATATTCAAATATGTCTAAAGATACCAATAAACATGTAAAACTATTAACAATCAATCTCATTACTTACAATTTCAGACTTAAATACCAACTTCTTGTTTCTTTTACCAACAAGCAACTTAAATAGTCCTTTAGGGATATTCATATTATTATACTTAAAAAAAAAACACCTTTATTTTGTTTAAGTATGTGGTGCTGAGGATTGAACCCAGTGGCTCACATGTGTAAGGCAAGCGCTCTACTGCTGAGCCACAACTGCAGCCCCATATTATCATATTATTTAAGATAGTTTAAATAAATTCAAAGCAGTTCAAATGGACATTTTCTTTTACCTTTCAAAAGCAGGCCATGAGGTCTCTTCACTTAGTTCAGAACCATCACTACTACCTAAAATCAAAAGTTATTCTATTATTCAAACATCAGAATTATTTTCCAAACTTGGATTTTTATTTAAAAAATAAAATTCTCTGTGCTTATAAAACAACAATCACATTGTGGGTAAACATCCACATAGTAATTCTTTATTCTAATATTAGAGCTACTAGATTTACTTTGCAACATATTAGAATGCAGTTGACAAGACTACCTAAAACAACAAAATAGCATAATATATTTTTGCATACCTATTTATAGTTCAAATTCATATGTTAAGAAACAAATTTCTCTACATCAGAGAATGCAGAGGACAAAGTTTTTCTTACAAGTCTGTCGTAAGTTAGGACCAATATAATCATGAAATCCTAAAAAGTTCAGGGCATACTTATTTCTTTTTGTAACAAAACTCATACCACCCAAAGGATAAAAAGCTTAATGAAATTCATTTCTTTGTCTTTAGAAACAAGGTTGAAGATAACAGTATTGCTAAATTAAAAATAAAAACAAAAATTTGGTGCTATAACAATGTAACAATTTCCTCTTTAGCCAGAATATTTGTTAAAATGGTATTCAAATAGAAACTTTAAAATTACTTGGAAAAAAACCTGAAAGGGAATGAATTTGAAGAATCCACAATAGCTTAGACTGATTTAAAAGTAATTTTGACTCTAAAAGTTAAGATGATTAATATGGCAAGTTGAGTAGTCCATCAAACTTTTACAAGCAAGGTTCCACAAGAGACTTAAACTCTCATATTTGGCATGTGTTAATTACGTATCATTTTTGGATGAATTGAGATAAAGATCACTGTGGGAAGCCGTTCTCGCATGTGATTGGTCTACCTCCCTGACTGGGTGTGAGGCGCTCAGACCAGCTGTGTCAGAGCCTTCCCCACCCTTTCCAGGTGCAAGGGCTTGTCCGTGTGGGGGTGTGACTGACCATTGACCTGGAAACCAATCACTGACCCTGACCTTGGAATGCTGTCCCCCTCGACCTTCATTGGATGGAATTTTCCCCTGAATTTTTTGTTCCCCAATAAAAGCCCACTCTCTGGTGTGCTTCTTCCTCTCTCCTGCTGGTCTCTTGTGTAAACCTCGCTAGCGCCAGGTGGCTTGAAGCAGGAGCCTGGAGAAGCCGTCTCTTAGCTGGGCAAGAAAAAGGTAAATTGAGTTTTATGTGTCTTTAGTTTGATCTCACTAGTTAACTTCTATGTTTGGAACCTCTAGTATGAAGCTAGCGTGCTGGTCGCGCGGCAGAGGTCACTAAACAAATTTCTATATCATGTGGCTAAGATGAGAAACTAGAGGTAACATGGTGGTGGTGATGGTGGGATCTTGTAGATTATTTTTTGATTTACAGCATTATGTAGTCAAGATTGAAAACTTTTAAACATAATTAGTATGGCTTATTTGTAGAAAATGTAAGCTTTTCCAGAAGCATAAAGCTCAGAGTGGATCATTTTCCCTTAGCTAAACAAGAATATTTAGGTTATCCAGGACACATACACCACATTAGAGAAGGTTTGAGGCTGTTGTCTCCGCACTGGTATAGACTATTATTGCATATAAAATTTACAACTAAAACCTCCACTTTTTTGTATGCCTATTAATACCTATTATGGTAACAGACTTACTCCTTTTCATGTTAAAGCTAAAGCTTTTGTTTTAAAAAAGAAAATATTTTGGAAGAAAAATGCCCATATAACTTTAATTTACAAACAAGAATGATTTTTTATGTTTAGCTACTTAACAATCTTGGAATAACTAAAATTAAAAAATTAAAAAAAAAATCCCATAAAGGCAAAAAGAGAGTCTGATGGGGAAAAAGTCAAATAGTATGTATCTGACAGGAGTAATTTTAAAAATTATTTTTTTGCTTTATGGGGCATACTGAATTCTAGCTTTTACGTACAAAAAAAATCTTTTTTTTTCCAAAAGTATTTTGTGTATTATTTTTTAAATATTTAAATTATTTTTTAAATATATTTATACATGAGCAACTTAGAACATTAATAAGGAGATATTTCAGGTGCTAAAACTGTCTTTTATTAAAAAAATTTTGTCATTTAATTAGTGGCATTAATCAAAAAGGGAACATTGGATAAACAAGTGGTGAATGGTGCTGGAGAGCTCTGAAGCAATTTCCTTTTCAGAGCTTGGAACTTTGAAGGACTAAGGAAGTCATGATGTGCAAGAAAATGAATCTCCATCTGCATCTTTCTATTGGCTTTTCATGAATAATGAGATGATCATATTAACAATAACAGGCTGAGCCCTCAAGCAACCTGGTAGCTAATCAGAGAGAAAGACATTTTCCCCTTTTATTACTTTTTAAAAATAGTAACAACATAGTATGGGTACATTTTCTAATTATGAAAAAAGAATGTTCAGTTAGAGGATTCAGAAGATCAACAAATGTTTAGGAAATAAAAACAAACCAGATCTTCTTTTAACTTCACATCATTTTCCAATGTGGTCCCCATTTCCTGGGGTCCTTCAGAATAGCTGTTTCCTTATTTCTCATTTTCAAATCTACTACTCCAACCATGGTTTTGCCTCCACATTCTATGAAGCAATTCTCTTGTAGGTTGCCAATGCCTTTATCTTGATGAATCCCCCTGGCCAAGTCCCCTTTCTCATGTGCTATATTGTAGGTGTGGAATGTCCCCAAAGTTACATATATTAAGTCTTAGTCTCCATTAGGCATTACTGAGAGGTGATACAGCCTTTAGGAGGTGGGGACTAGTGGGAGGTCTTCAGGTCACTTGGGGGCATGCCCTGAAGGCAGACTGTGGGACCCTGGTCTTGTTTACTTCTGGCCATGAGGTGAATGGTTTTGCCTTGCAAAGTGTTTCTGCCATTATGTACTGCCTTGCAACAGGCCCAAAACAACAGGGTCAACAGATCATGGACTGAAATCTCCAATGCTGTGAGTCAAAATATACCTTTCTCTTTAGAAGTTGATTTATCTCAAGTATTTGTATAGTGACAGAAAGCTGACTATCATCACCATCTTAGTTCTCCTTTTTGCTTTGGATATTTGCTACATTAGCACTTGACTCTTTTGTGAGACACTGTTTTTTTCCCTGCTTCATTGATCTCCCCTTCATAGTTTCCTTTGACAGTTAATTTTTCATTAAAAAAAACAATTAACTTAACCTCCTAATGTAAGAATGTTCTTATTTATACTCTCTCCCTGGGTGAACTGAACTCAACAAGTTTCATGGCTTGAAATACTGTATATACACTAACTCTCATACTTCTATCACCAGAAACAACATTACTACTACTGAGCTCCAGATTTGTAGTTCAACAACCTGACACTACACAAACTAAACATGTCCCAAATCATTCATGATTCCCCCAAATGGGCCATGCTACACAAGCACCTCACTACCTACAAATGATTGCTCTTCCAGTCCTCTCTACCTTAGTAAGAGTACCAACATCTAAGCAGCTGCTTAATTTGAATAACTTGGAATCATCTTGATTTTACCCTCATCTTCATTCCCAAACACAAACTACACGCAGTTCACCAATCCAGCCAGTTATGTTCTTTTCCCACCAGTGTTCAAGTACATCCCCTTCTGGACTAAAACAGTACTTTAAAAACCATCACAAATTATATGGCCTTTATCCTGTATATAATTGCTACTTTTTTTTAAAATCAAATTTTCTCTACTTATGGTAGTGTTAATGAATTTTATTACAGCTAAATTTTATTTAAATTCTCATTTTATATACTTTGGAAACCTTTTAGAGAAATATTTCTTACCTATTGATATTCCACTAGAAAGAGTAGAACTTTCAGCTTGGCCTCGAGATGGTGCATGGGGCTCCATGACACTATCATCTAACAGATGTCTTGGCCCTGCATTTGGGAACGTTGCACTCTTAAATTCTGCTGTGTTCATTTTATGGATAAAACTGGAAACAAAGAGAAAAATTTCACAACTTTTACTAGGTTACCAATGCAGGATATAAAAAATACTTTTATGTAAAGATTCAGGACATACAAGACTTACCCGTTATCCTGAACTTATTTCTGAACTCTCATAGTAATGAGCACAGATACTACCACAAAAGCTACAAACTAACAGTTTAGGAAAAATTTTCTTTTTAGGAAACCTAGACATATCTACCTATATAATTAGAAAATACTTCAATTCCATCTCGAGCCTAAGGTACATTAAATTGTTAAACATTTTTAGGGAAAAGTTATTCAATTTTCACAAAAACCATGGCAGAGGTGAACATGGTCCCCTTTTTGGAAAAACAATATTGCAAAACGAATGAAGTCAAAGAAAAAATTATTTTCCCTTTGTGTGTATTTAGGAATAATTTTTTAGACCTTATTATTTATTTTAGTTAAGACAAAACAAGAACTGTTTTGATTTAATGGTACACTCCTATCTCAGTTTTATTTATGATGGCTCTTTGTAATGATCATTCACCTCCTTCAAATATGCAGGGTCTGGGGGCTGGGGCAGTAGCTCAGTGGTACAGTGCCTGCCTCGCATGAGTGAGGCACTGGGTTCGATCCTCAGCACCACATAAAAATAAATAAATAATATATAATGTCCACCTACAACTAAAAAAATATTAAAAAAATATAGGGACTGTTGGGGACAGATAATTTCCAAACTCAGGTAATGGAAGAAATAAATTATTTTAGACAAATAAGATATTTTATTTAATCAGAAAGACTAGTATTATTAAAACAAAAAAAACCCACAACCCCAAAACTATGCAAGGACATTATTTTCTGTTCCACTAATAAATAGGAAATAAATTCAACTATAAATAACTTAAAAAATTGAAAGATAAGATAAAGAATGCTGACTTATAACCCAAGCTGTGGCACTTCCTGTGTCCATGTGGAATCAGATTCCGGGGGGAGGGGGGTGTCTGTGGCAGCAAGGCTCCCTCAGCAGCTACACTTTTTCTTCCACTCTGGGGTGATGCTCCTACTTCAGGACCTATGGGTTCAATTAAAAGAGAGAGGGGGAGGAAATTTTCATATTTTCAAATAGTTTCAAAGGATTACTTTATTTTTATTCCCTTGGTTTATAAACAGAGATATAAATTTTAATATAATGTTAGTTCTATACTGACTTGAACATGAGAAATATTTATTTTCTAAATTCTAAAACATGGAATCACAAACCATATAAAAATCCATTAGTTTCCATCTTGCTTGGACTAAGTAGAGGCAGTGTAAATAATTCCTCCACTTACAATGCAAGAAGCAGAATTGAAGAGATTAGATTGGAATCTCACCTCAGAGACAAAATCTGCACTTAATGCCCAGGTCTTGAGTCCCAGGTTCAGTGCTTTTTATTTTTATACATTGCTTCTTTGCTCATTGTTTCAGTTTCCTCTTAGAATGCATTCAAGTTAGAAATTATACTCCTTCATTGACACTTTGCTTGAGTTTATGGGAATAAAAAACTACTCAGAAGCACACAGATCTCCGAAATATTACTTTAAGAATTAAAAGAAATAAAAAACAATAGAAGGGAGATCAGCAGAACAAGTGGGTGGGCAGGGGCAGAAAAGAAGGGAGGGAAAAGGAAGGTCCTGGGGAAGGAGATTGAGGGAATTATGTATATATTCAAATACGGCACAATAAATCTGCTATTAAATATAATTATAATGCATGAATAAAATTTTTTAAGAAAGGAATTTAAAGAAGCAAATTTAAGAGCTGGGGTTATGGCTCAGTGGTAGAGCACTCATCTAGCAAAGTGTGAGGCCCTGGGTTCGATCCTCAGCACCACATAAAAATAAATAAAATAAAGGTATTGTGTCCAACTACAACTAAAAAATAAGTATTAAAAAAAAAGCAAATTTAAGAGATCAAACTGATTGTGCTCTCTCCCAGATACTATCACAACTTGTTCCCTTACTTCTTCACATCATGTTAGATGGGACTTCGAATATTCTTAGAATATACAACAGAAAGCTTGTATGAAGGACTGCACTGGCAATTCTTAAAAAGGTACTTATCAGGCTGGGGACAAAGCTCAGAAGTGGAGTGTTTGCCTAGGAGGTATAAAGCTTTGGGTTCAATTCCCAGAATCTCCCCCACCTCCAAACAAAAGGCTCTTATTAATTATTTCTTAATAGTGAGTGGTTTAATGTTTTTAAAAAATTATTTGTGGTATCAATAATATCCCTATTGTAAGGCAACAGGTAAAGTAGGGACGGATTTTTATATTTGGGTACTTGGCCCAGTAATCAAGTAAACTTAAAAAAACAATTAAAAAAAGAATATTATATTCTTAAATTCTTGTCTATTTTTTTCTGTTGTATCTGTTTTTCTTGATTATGTAACATTTATTTGTGTATTACTGACAAAATACAAGTAACTTTTTAATAAAAAAAAAAACAAGGGAAAAAAAACTGACAAGAAAAGACTGATGGGTTTTATTACCAAAAGCATTTTTTTTTCTCATGCATTACAAGATTGCTAAGTATTTATTTGCTTTGGGGTTTATTCTTTCCTATCAAGTATTCTGATTTATTATTTGGTAAAGACAGAAAGCAACACACTAACCTACTAAGTCTTCCCTGGAAGCAGCAGAACGTGGTGTGCTTGTACCTGGTTCTATCTTCAATGAGAGCCTGAATTTTAAAAACACAAAACACATGGAATGATTAACATTTGACAACATAATATGAATATATTTTCCCATAAGAAAACTTAAAAAAATTTTTTTAAAAATATTTTTCAGTTGTCAATGGATCTTTATTTTATTTATTTATATGCGGTGCTGAGAATCAAACCTAGTGTCTCACACATGCTCTACCACTGAGCCACAACCCCAGCCCTCTAAAAATGTTTTTATAAATTTGTCTGAGCTACATATTTTTCTTCCAGAGCAACCCTAAACTAAGATGTTAGACTCCTATCTCTCTCATCCAAAGTTATATTACAGTTATTCCAGGAAATATTAGGGAGAAGAAAAACATTAAAATGTTATATACATATATATTTTTATAATTAAAAAAAATTTAGTTATAAATGGATTTAATACCTTTATTTACTTATTTATCTATTTATTTATTTTATGTGGTGCTGAGGATCAAACTCAGTGCCTCACACAAGCTCAGCAAGCATTCTACCACTGAGCTACAATGACAGCCACGATATGTTATATTTAAAAACACAAATGTCTCCCTAACATCCCAAAGGTGCCACTAAATTAAGAATCTTCACATGTAGTATTTAACATATGATGCAAGTTATTTCTAGCATCAACTTATCAAAAGAATATACAAAGAAAAAGGCTGTTTGCAAAATTCCTAGTAAGTCCATGTCCTAAATAAAGTTTCTTATTAGTTTTTGTTTTAAAAATATTTATTTTAGTTATAGATAGACACAATAATTTTATTTATTTATCTTTTTATGTGGTGCTGAGGCTTGAACTCAGGGCCCTCACACATTCTAGGCTCTACCACTGAGTCATAATCCCAACCCTTTTATGTCTTTGAATTCTACTTAGGATAATATATCCAGTTTTGAATTTCATAGCAGAAGAAGTTATGATTTCTATCAGTGGAGGCAATTTTGGGAAACAGAATACCAAAAATGGTAGAAAATGCTTTGTTATAATAAATGAAATCTAATATTACTAAGACTTTGAAAATTAATAAAGACTATTTAGATTCTATTGACTGGAATTTCACAATGATAAACAAATCTAATGTAGGCTCTTATTTTAAGTAATTATTTCCCTGATAACCTGGGAGGGAATTAAATATGATTATATTCCAAATATCTGACAATGTAAAATGAACATAATAATTAGATGAATGATTAACCAGAACTCTCAGCTCCTTTTCTTTTCTTAGGGTAGTTTGTTTATTCAGGTACAAACTATACTGTATTCACTCATCTGACAAATATTTACTGAACACCTGCTTTGTGTTAGGCACTGTGCTCAGCAGTATTATGTAAAAGGGAGAAGGCAGATGTGGTATCCCTGCCCTCTGAAGCTTACAGTACAGTAAGTGAAAGACAAAGAAGTAAACAAAACAACCACAATTTCCTAACCCAGTGCCAGAACAGAAAGAACAAAGGGGAGCTTCCTGGCGAATCACACTGTTATCTGTAGGAGCTGATAAATGACAGCTGTATACAAAGCAGAAGCATCTTAAAGGCCACAGTAGTGACTGCTACTCTGTTGCTTATAATATCATCAAAGCACCATAAACTAAGTGATGCCAATTCATCAAGAAAAGATAAAGCCTGGTATTAAAATTAAACAGATTTTCACCCTGACTAAAAGATATGTATGTAATCTGTATACTTACACTGGCTATTTAGATGAAGTAGTGAAAAACAAAGGTCTTTAAGTAAATGAAGTCATTTTTACTTAAATATACTCCATCATAAAAATCATTTTTAACTAATAATTTTAATGGCTCTTAAAATTCTCTTAACTCTCAACATTTAATTAGTAGGCTGATGCAATATAATTTGATTTTCAGAAAAACAATGTACCTTTCTCCGGTCTCTCATATGATGTCCCAACACCACCAAATGATCTGAGTTCCCTAAGCAAACAGTTTCTTGCCCCATCTTCCTGCTCATTCTATCCCTAGAGTACCTCTTGTCCCTCCATGTGCTGCCACTCACCTGTTAAGTGCAGCCTTAGGTGACACTGTCTCCTGCAGCTATCCATGTTTCTATTCCCTTTACTTTTCCTTTAAAGTTGGGTCAGGTGTCCCCTTATCTATGCTGCTGTAGCATCCTGGGCATAGCTCTACTATAGTACTGTTTCAATGTTCTGAAATCATCTGTTTTAGATGCATTAGACTGAGCTTCTCGAGGGCAAGAACAACATCCTTCTTTATAATCCCAGCAACTGACATAGTAATCAGACCATAACAAATGCTTCATCAATATTTGTTAAATTCATATAATGAGAAGGCTGTTCTGGTTCTGGTCACTCATAAAAACAAAAGTTAACAGCATCAGGCTTCCTATAAATATGAAGGTATACACATCAGCTCTGGGCAGTCAGAACTACTTAATAGTGCCAATGGCTAAGTCTGTCTTTTCAACAAAATAAAAATTTGAATAAATATCACACTTTTACTGATGTCAGTAAAAAATTACCATCTTTATAACTGTGCAAAATTTTCTGAGAATTCATTTCCACTTTTTAAAAATCTAGTGGTTTCTTGAGATAGATAGAAAATTTTAATAGATACTCAAAGTTTCAGTTTTTTTTTTTAATATTTAAATTTTTTAGTTATCAGCGGACACAACATCTTTGTTTGTATGTGGTGCTGAGGATCGAACCTGGGCCGCACACATGCCAGGCGAGCGCGCTACCGCTTGAGCCACATCCCCAGCCCTCAAAGTTTCAGTTTTAAGACAACTATTCTACAGCTCATTGGACAAATTGTTAAGTGTTTATTACGCACAAGTTCTATGTTAGTAACGAAAGAGAGATGGAAAAAATAGTGGAAAAAATAAAAGACACAGATGATTGAACTCAAGAAACTTACAACCTAGCACAACAGATTTGTGAAACAAACTCCAGACTTAAAAAACTGACCTCATATATTTTCAAATGAGTTACTACATAAAAAAGCCTTTTGTAAAATGAAATTTGGTGTGGGACTAAAAAAAGTAGTATTATGGTGTGTGTACAGGGGTTGGGGAAGATGGTAATAAAGGTGTTTCTGAGCATTAATGATACTTTTAATATATACCCAGAATTTCAGCTTTCAATGGGACTAATTCTGTTCTATAGAAATTTTAAAATTCTTAAAACCTACAGAACAAGGAAGTTGAAAATCACTGATTTTCAAAGAGGTTAAAAAAATATTTATCAATACTAAAAACAAAAACAAAACCAAACCAAAAAAAAAAAAAACCCCTCATATTTTACTTTGATAAAATTTAAAAACATGACCTTTAATTGGTGAAAATTTATGTGGAAGACATGAAATTCAATTTGGAAGCTTTGAAACAACTAGCATAATGAAGTTAAGCAAAGGTTGGGCATGGTGAAGTGCACTTACAGTCCCACTCAAGAGACAGGAGGATCACTTGAGGCCAGGAATTTAGAAACAGCCTTGGCAATATAGCTGGATCCTGCCTCTATTGAAAAATTAAAAAAGAAAAAAAGAGCTAGGCAAAAAGAAGGAAAAAAAATATATGTATTCAAGTTAACAAATGAAGCTAAAGGAAAAATGAGAAGCCGCTATCGAAATAAGCTCTTAATCCTTCCATCCTTTAAAAAGCAGGTATGATGTAAAGTTGTATCACTGAAAACTGTAATCATCCTTGGGAAACACAGTGGATGGTAAGGAGAGAAGAAAAGGCATCAGGTCTTTGCAAGGGGAGTTTTTTAAGTTTTCATAAAGTACTTGCAATGATAAAGAGAAAAGGTCTATATTGGAGCAACTCATCAATAATCTAGAGGTAAGGTTCAATAATCTCTCAATCCCTGAAAACTGGAAACAAACTCTAAGATGTGTCCAAAAATAACTGTTAAAAACAGTCTTTTGGGGGTAGGGTTGTGGCTTGCCTAGCATGCATGAGACACTTGGGTTTGACCCTCAGCACCACATAAAAATAAAATAAAGGTATTATGTTGAGCTGGGGTTGTGGCTCAGTGGTAGAGTGCTTGCCTAGTATGCATGAGGCACTGGGTTCAAACTCCAGTACCACATAAAAAAACTAAACAAAATAAAGGTATTGTGTCCATTTACAACTAAAAATATTGGGAAAAAAAAGATATTGTGTCCACCTAACAATATCTAAAAAAAAGGAATGATTTTTCTATTTTGTAGACTGTTTAATTTTTCTATTAAAAGATCAATTTCCATTAAGATTCAATGATTGAAGATAGCAAAAGGAAGAAATTGAAAATCTGAATTATTAAACCTCAGCTCTCTACAACTTGAGAAGGATAAAATACTTTTTAATAAAGGAACAGATCAGGTATTTTTATAATGGTTCAATCATACCAAGTGATTAAAAAGAAATATAAGCACCTTTACCACTGTTAACATACCACTAGATTGTGGGATTTAGATATTTAAATAGATGGGGATGGAAGTGTAGAGAACAGGGCAAAGTACAAATCCATTCTGAAGATCAACTTACTTGTAATTATCATCTTCCACAAATTTTTGTAGTTCCTCTATATATTGAACAGAGTTCAGGTATTTTTGAACATGAGGCAACATGGGAATATCTAGGCAAAAGGTGATAAGTAATTATCAGATAAAGTATATCTTAAGGCGAACTCTCAATATTAAGCTAAGAAAAATAATTAAAGGTAAACTAAGTCCATATGGCATCAAAATTAAAATTAATTCTAGAAGGACATTATTGAGATTAACTTTATTTAAAATAAAACCGAAGATAATTTGGGTGGGAGGTACCGAAGATAATTTAGAAAGCTGTAGGTGCACGTTGCTTATATAGAAAACAGCTCCAATTACAAAGCCCCACATATTTGAGAAATTTCATGGAAAATAATCAGAGACTTCACTGTTTTACATATAATGCCTCAACTCAATGCACAAAGTGAAGGCAGTTATTTTTCTTTTTAAAAAACTTGGCTTCCATTTATAAATGTGTCTCCCACTCCCATTATAAATTTCAAGTAAGACTAAGTTAACATTACAATGTAGTGTTATGTTTAAAAACAAAAATGGGAAAAAGAACAGAATAAAGGATCATTTCACTTTCATTAAGATCCTATTACCCTCTCTCCAATCCACTATCCCTTTTAAGAAGCTTTTGAGGTTTTCTTAAAAGTATAGATGTATACATGCAAAGTTAGCTTTAAAACACATTTATTTAAAATAAAATAATGTAAACTTTTACAATTTTATTATTTTACTTATTTTTTAATGTGGTGCTGAGGATGGAACCAGTGCATTACACATTCGAGGCCAGTGCTTTACCACTGAGCCCCAGCCCCAGCCTGACACATTATTTTTAATACCATAAAAATTATGCATCAACAATCTAACTTTATTCCCTATCAAAATAAAAACATTCAAACATTTTTTTTAAAAATTCTCTTTTCTAATCATTTAGGCTTATTTATTATTAGTCTGTCTTACATCATTCCATAAAATACACCTTGAACAAAATTGTTTGTTTACTCAATATCTGACTTAAGAAAGCTAATAATAATAACAGTTCCTAACTGTTATTAGGAACAATGGTCTCAGCTACTTTCCTAATTGGGAAACATATCAACTATTTATAGACTGCAGAGAGCAAATGAGATCAAGATAATAGAAAATAATTTTATGAATTTTCATAAAGGGCTAGAATAACTGTGAAGTGGTAATATTACTTATTGCCCCTGTGCTTTGTTAGCAGAAAAGCAAAAAGATTTAAAAAATGAAAGATCAAACACTAAATTCTCCAATTCTTTAAGAACAATCTTAAAAAGGACAGGGGGAATAGCTCATTTGTAAGGCATCCCTGGGTTCAATGCTGGGGTGAATATGGAAGTGGTTACATAGTAAATGGACAAACAAAAGAACTCTTATTTTCCTTTATGTTATAGTGGAGATGAGAACTTGATGCTCCCTGCTGCATGAGAAGTGGTCATCAATGTGTCAGTGAATCAATGGAATCACAGCACAGTAAGGGCTTAGACAGAACTGTTCCCCAGAAACTTACCATATTCACAGGACTGCTGTAAATCAGAAATTATTCGAAGGATGTTATTCATTAAATTTGATCTTTGCTCATTTTCTAGAATGCTGCCAGTTGATGGGTATGCCGAATCAATGTATGTTAAATCTGACAAATAGATACCTGAAACAAAATTTTGGACACATTGATATGCTAGCTTGGAAAAGCATGACAGAGCGAGGGAGGGAAGAAGCTAGTTTACAGATTTCAATATATGCCATACTTAGAATATACTGTTATTAACATAATAACAATGGGACCACCTGGGACTTGTATGTCCATAAAGTTGGAGTCAGACATGCATGTAATATGTTTTTTGTAAACGTCTTCCTATGAACCTTTTTTATGTATGGTTTAAAGTTGCAACTAAAAACTCCAGCATGGATGGGACTTAATGGAAAGAAGTTGAGCTCCTGAACAGGCTCTGCCAATGACTAAGTTGTGTGGTAGAGAAAGTCATCTCAATGTCCGAACCTCAGTTTTTACATTTATACAACCATTACCTATTTTTGAAGTTTCCTTATGGTCTGAAGAAGTTACCTTGGCCAGCCTGGCCAGTGCTTTGCATAGGGAAGTTATTTACTATCAGTCTTTTACCCCTACCTTAACCATTATCCAGGTCTTAACCACCTTGAAAATTGTCTCCATCAGGTAGAAACGTCTTAAGTTTCAAAGATCGACATTTTGATTTCTGAAAGTGTTTATGCGAATACAAATTAGCTTTCCTACCTTTCCTTGTTCTCTGTACCAATAAAAATAATACATATCCCAAAATAATTTGGTTTCATTAGTCCCAAACATGGAAGGTCACTCATTAAAAATATTTCCTAAGAGTTTACCATGCACATGTAGAATGTGTAAGACAACTATACCTGAAGAGAAAAAATATATACTTCCCTAACTTTTACCTTACTATTTCACTTTCATAAATTTTCAGGGAAAATGCAACCAAAATTTCAAAACCTAATGCCCTCTATATAAGCCCTGTTTTTTCCCCCACCTTGGGTGTTTTCTAGACACATCTCTGCCCATTCAAAATCTTACATATCCAACTATTCTCTAGTTTTCTTACACATTTCAAGAAATATTTAGAATCTGTCTAGTTTTTATAGATGAAGAGCCCAAAAAACACAGTTATTAAAAGGATATATCTAATGTCACGCATCCTGTTAGTGACAGAGTTAGATCTCAGAAGTTTCACTTGCAGCCTAGATTAAAAACGAAACAAACCCACTTGAATCAAAGTGTGAAATATGATATATCAAGAACTACGTAATGTTTTGAACAACCAACAATAAAAAATTGAAAAAACAAAACAAAACATACTAAACTGGGTGCAGAGGGTCCATGCCTATGAATCCCATTGCTTAGTAGAGCGAGGTAGGAGGATTCAAAGTTCATGGCCAGCATAGGCAACTTAGCAAGACCAGATCTCAAAAAATAAAAGGGATGGGGATATAGCTCAGTAGTAGAATATCCATAGGTTCAATCCCCAGTATTAAAAAACAATTGCACTCTATTAAAAACTTATGCATTATTTATACTATTTTCTTAATAACTTTTATGACTACATAATCTCTTCAGTTGTTTACATTTTCTCATCTGTTGAAGATTATAAACTTGTTTAAGGCAGTTGCTCTTTTTAATTTTTGTAGTTGTAGATGGACAGCATGCCTTTATTTGTTTCATTTTTTTGTGGTGCTAAGGATTGAACCCAGTGCCTCACAGACGCTAAGCAAGTGCCCTGCCACTGAGCCCAGCCCCAGCCCCAGTTGCTCTATCTTGCACTCTTAGAAAATCCTGGTTAATGTTTTAACTACAGGTGGTATTTAATGCAAGATAACAGGTTGGCATCTTTGCACCATTCATCTTCCCTGAGTAACTCTTTATAGAATGTTTTAAGTCACCTGGAAATATTATTTTCCCCTAGGTCTTCAAATGACCTACTTCCTGGATCTTTCTGACTTCCTCCAATCTCAGAGAAGAATTCCCTTGTCTTCTTTTTAAATATGAACTGAGATTTTGAATGTGAATGTGAATAACTATTATCTCCTTCCAAATACCACTGCTCTCTCTGCTCTTAGTTGCTCCTCTCTGGCTCCTTTCTGAGAGCCAACACATACATAGTTCTCTCCTGTTTAAGAAAACAAAAATCAAAGCAACCCTTCCTTCAAATCTGGTCCCATCCTCAAGAAAGGAACCTTCCCATATACCCTCAACAAACATCTTGAAAGAGAAATACAGAACAGCATGCTTATTTATTTTATTTTCTATTTTAATGTAATATTTGATGCACATCAAAGTTTACATGGGTCAGAAAAAATTGTGAAAAACTTTGAAATGGGCAAAAAAAGATTACGAAGTATCCCTTATGTTCAGCGCATCATTTTGGCCCTACATGTTGCTGAAGCCCAGTAATAATACAAATTCTTTTCTTTTCTTTTTTTTAGTAATAATACAAATTCTTGACCCAAACAATGCCAATGAATTATGTCCAGTGGGATATAACTGACTATTGCCCTTGGATACTGACCAATTCTGCAACTATTTGTTAATTCATTTCAGCATTCCTAACTTTTACATGTGCTATTAACTTTGAAGCATCCCTTGAAATGGTTTCATCTTCCTGATTCCCTTATAAATTTAATGACTTAAAATGTTTTGACACATATTGATTTGGCATTTGTGAGAGAATCATGAATTTATCTTTAAAACAATTCATTAATGTTTGTCAAAGACTACAATTTAAGAATCATAGCATCCCTAAGGAGAGCGAAAATGTTCCTTAAGGAAATAACACAGGATGTCAGCACATGTACCTCAATAATAGCAGTAAAAGATACATTAAAAGTGGCTGGGAGCAGTGGCCCCTGTAATCCCAGTAGCTTGGGAGGCTGAGGCAGGAGGATCTTGAGTTCAAAGCCAGCCTCAGAAACGTAGTGAGGCACTTAGCAACTCAGCAAGATCATCTTAAATAAAATATAAAAAAAAGGGGCTGGAGTTGTGGCTCAGTGGTAGAGTGCTAGCCTGGCATGTGTGAAGCAATGGGTTTGATTCTCAGTACCACATATAAATAATGAATAACATAAAGGTCCATCAGCATCTAAAAAAAATTTAAAAAATATATACATATAAATAAAGGCTGGAGATGTGGCTCAGTGGTTCAAGCACCCGTGGGTTTAATCCTCAGTAGTAGTAGTAGTAGTAGTAGTAGTAGTAGTAGTAATACATTAAAAGTAACACGAAACAAATTAAAGCCAAGTTTTATTCACAAAAGTTCTATGCAAAAAAAGGTCATTCACACCAGGAGGATCCAAGTTTGAGGCCAGCCTCAACAATTTAGCAAGGCCCTCAGCAACTTAGTAAGATCCCGTTTCAAAATAAAAAGTAAAAATGGGCTGGCGCTGTAGCTCAGTGGTAAAGTGCCCCTGGGTTCAATCCCCAGTAGCAACAAACAAACACACACACACACACACACACACAAAAATCATTCCCTACTGATGACATCCGAGGCAGCTTCGAGGTAGAAGGGCACTTAATGGGCCAAGTCTCACCATTCTTCACTAAATCCAGATGATAATAGCCACTGCTGCACGTGAGGATTATTTCAAAAGTGTTTATCTGGGCGTGATGGCACATGCCTGTAATCAATTCCAGTGGTGCAGGAGGCTGAGGCAAGAGGATCATGAGTTCAAAGCCAGCCTCAGCAAATAGCGAGGAGCTAAGCAATGCAGTGATACCCTGTCTCTAAATAAAATAAAGATAGGGCTGGGGATGTGGCCCAGTGGTCGTGTGCCCCTGACTTCAATACCGGGTACCAAAAATAAAACAAGTGTTTATTCTAAATAGATGTGTTTAAATAAAATATGGCTTTATAAAAAAGAACCAGAATATTATCAGTACTGTTCCATCTACCTATATGCTCCTTCCTTCCAAAAGTGACCACTATTCTCAAGATTCCCCTTTGCCCCAACACAAGCCTGTATCCCCCCACGATATACAATTTACATTTGCTTATGTTTGAATTTAAAAAAATCATTTTATGTGTGTGATTAAACTTGAATATTTGTATAGTCAGAAAATGTCTGGTATATTCTAAGTAATTTATAAACATTTAAAAAATAATTTTTTAAAAATATGGTCTGTTATTGCTGTGTCTCACTTTTTTATTATTGTTTCTGCTATTAAATGCCCCTGTAATTTCTTATATTGAGAATAAACCAATTTGTGACTGTATCACAATCTGCTTACTAATTTTATCTGACAGACTTCTGAATTGCTTTCCTCCTTCCTCTATGTTGCCACAGACACCTATTGCGCCTCTCGTGCACATGTGCAGAATTTCCCTGCAAGCCTCCCACTACCAGAACTGCTAAGGCTCAGAGGTCTATTAATATTCAACTTTACAAGATGATACCAACATTATTTTTCAAAGCTTTACCAATTCATGCTACCACTGACAATACGTTTCTATTGATTCATATCTATGCAAACATTTGGTATTATTAATCTGCCAATCTTATCAGTATAAAATGGTATCTTAATGGTGTCTTAATTTTCATTTCTCATTCATTTCTATGTTTTAGTACACTGTGGATACTGATCCATTTGTTAGTTAAATTTTATCCAATCATTTCTTAACCCACTAAATAACCTGAACTATCTATCATGCTTCTAAAATTTATTTTGGCAAATCCATTAATGACTTCCTTATTCTAAATCTAACATCTCTTTGGTCTCCTCCTCCTACCTCATCTCTCTGCAATATTTTAACCATTCCCTTCTCCTTGGTTTTTCCCAGCTTGAACTTTCCTAGACTCCTTTTTTTTTTTGCTTTCATTCTTCTTTTTCCTCATGTTCCCTGGAAGTTTTATTTCCCATGGTTTGTCATTTAATCTTCTCATTTTACACGTACTTGCTCTGTGAAATCTTGGTTCTACAGCTTCAGGTACTACCTAATTGCTGATGAAGTTTCAGATCTCTGTATAGAACTGAATTCCCAATTTTCATTTTCAACTTAACAAGTCAAACCAACTATTATTTGTTTCTAAACATCTGCCATTTCAATTTCCTGTGTTGGTTAGTGATAGTACTTACTGCTCAAGTAAGAAAGTTCAAAATTG